CCGAGCTTCCCGACGTCCAAAACACTCCAAAGTTACTCCCCGAGCCTCGTGAAGATGTTTTAAGGCTTCCTATGACCTTAAAACTCGCTGAAAATTCAACAATTACGATCACATGAACAATGTTCACAATCCAGGTTCTCTGGTTTCCGGGTTTTACGAGCTCTCACGTCGAACTAAGGGTATGGATGAGCTCTTGAGTTCACCAAGAACACAAAAGCAACCTCCTCGACTTCGATCCGAGTAAGATGAAGCTAGTTTGAAGAGTGACCGTACAACTTGTACGGACGATGGATGAAATCCAAGAGAATGGTCAACGGGGTTGTTTGGGTGTGTGTGTGTTGTCCTAGTTTGGGCTACCAACCAAAACAAACAAAAGTTTAAGTCCTCAATGGGTCCTAACACTTAGGAACTTAACATATTGGTCCCCTTTTAAAAACATGTCACACACAACACATCTCAACGTCCAAGGGCAAAATAGATATTTCACTCTGTCAATAAAATAATTCGGGACGGGCTGTGACAAAAAATGGGTACAAACTAAAACTAAAAATATATGATAAAAAATTTAGTCATAAATATAAATATATTAATTGTAACGTTTTTAACATTAAATGAATATATTTAGAAATAAAAAAATATTTTATTATTGAAATAATTAATGATGTTATTAATACGCAATAACCTTGATCAAAAATTGAATGAATAGGATTTTAATCAATGGAGTAGCAAAATGAATGATGAGAACCTAATTTCTCCATAATAAATATTAGAGTGTTGATAGCCTACCGTAAAGGCCTCCCTTCCCGATTTTTATTTCAGTTAATATTTCAATTTTTGGTCAATTCCTATATCTCTAATTGATTGCAACTCTCCTTCTTTTCCTCTCCACCACCAACGCAACCCCCTTCCAAATCCCACAACTAAGCCTCATACCGAATTCCCAAAATCTCATCCTCATGTCCCATTTCCAAATTCGCAATAATCCAATTCCACTCGTCCAAGCCCAATTTCTTCTTCTGGTCTCTCATTTCATTTTTCAAAGATTTAGATAATTATTTTATTAGTAAATGTTGTGAATAACTCTTATATATGATTAAACTAGAAAAGTAGAAAATGAAGAAACTAGAAAAGTAGAAAATGAAGAAAATGTTTTTTTTTTTTGGAAACAATGAAGAAAATGTTTATTTAAAAGAATTGAGACAATTGAGATGGTTGCAGTGAAATGGTGAATAGACAAAAGATTTGTTTTTTCTTTTTTTGCTTTAGTCCTTAAATATTATTTTACACGAGGTAAATTGATATTAATTTATTTATTAAAATGTGGTTGAAAAGAATAGACAGGGGGAGTTTATCAGCATTTTATAATAAATAGGCCATTACTTCCTCTCTTTTTTCAACATTATAACTAAATAATAATTGAGAAATGTTATTAGCACTCTAAAAATCTCATTCTACACTCCTCACAAATGTATTTTTCTTTCCAAATATAAAATGTTTGAAGTGTAGAATGAGATTTTTGGAGTACCAATAACAATTCCCTAATAATTAAACACCAAAATGTGTTAACTTTGTTAATCGGAACATTTTAACATTTTCTAGCATAATAGATGATGATTTATCGCAATGGCAAAAAAGGGCCATCTTTTTGCACTCTAGTGCAGATTATGTCTCATTATTTCCCTTCTTCACTAACAACTAAGAATTTGACTCACTAATAATATCGTTTATAAAAAACATAAAATTTCTAGCATAGTTAATTTGTTGTAGTTAATCATTAACAATAATGTAAAAGTAAACCGTTTTGATCATAAACTAAAATCGTAAAAAGAGAAAAAAGAGAAACGTCATTAAAAATAGTCCAAATCGAAGATTGCTAACATCCACATTCATAGCTGACTTTCGTGCCCCTCTTAGACTCGCACACCCCTCTTTAAAAGTTTTTAGAGGGATACAAAGAATGTGTACCATTTTCCTTCGATGTATTTCGAGTCCTAACACCGACTCAGTCATCGGTCAGAGTACATTTATTTCCAGCATGTTCAGTCAATTCATGCTGATCTAGAAAAAGAAGAAAAACATCATGACACTGCATTTTCTTTCAGAAAGTGCAAATGCAGCAGAAGTCAATTGAATTCTCGGAGATAATAACTGCTCCTTATCCTGTCCTTATTTTTCAATTTGATTTACCAACTTGGCGACTACTATGCTCTTGTTTAACCACCCTTGACCCGGACCAACATTTTTTGCCCTTTTCGGAGGGGGGAGTTGGTGAAGAACCAAAAAAGGAAAGTACCCGAAATTATAACAAAATATGCCATTGTGATCATATTTTATATTTTATAAGAAAGTTAAAATGCATGGTAACAGTTATTAGCATTATAAAGATCTCAATTTGCACTCTTCACAAATGTATTTGTTTTGTAAATATAAAAAATTTGAAGTGTCAAATGAGAATTGTGAAGTGCCAATAACAATTCTCAATCGCATAGCAGTGTATATATGAGTAGTTTGAACCAGTAAGCTTTTTTAATTTTAAGAAGAAAAATATCTCCCACCAAAGCAGCCAACTTCCCCTTCCTCCATGGTCGCCGGCCTCTGGCTAAGGTTGGGGGTCGGTGACCGCCTCTCCTCCTCATTCTCCTAGCTTTCCTCTCTTCTCCCCGTCCCCTCTTTCCTCTCCACCCCATCCCACCCTTCAACAGCTTCTCCCCCTGTGTCTCTTCTCCCCCTCCCTCATCCGGGACTCCTCTCCTTTCCCTCTCCCCCCACAGTTGTCCTTAGTCCCACTGGTGCTCCCATGGGTGGCTCTGCCTTTTTGTGATTTTGGGTGACTTTAGTGGTTGCCGGGTTTGGTGTTGCTGTTCCAGTATCAAGTTCGCTAGGTCTCTCCCTCGCTTTGGCGTGGTGGGCCTTTGGATTTGTCGTGCTTTGTCCTAGGTGGCGTCAATTTTGGGTGTTCCCGGTGAGGGCCTCCTGGTTGCTCATAGTTTTGATGTGCAGAACTGTTGTTCCTGGTGCTTTGGGCTCCTCGAGGGCTTTGCCCTTGGAACTATCATTTCAGCCTATTTGGGTTTGTTTCGGTGGTGGGGCTGGTGGTGCGGCGGGGTGGTTGGTTCCCTTTGCCATCCTATCAGCCATCGCTTTCCTCCTCCTGTTACGTCCCACTCCGGGCGACGGATGACGGTCTTTGGTGCCTTGGATATCGCCCCAGCTTCGGTGGGTGTCCCACGCCTTTATCATCTCTGCACGTTTTGCTGCTCCACCGTCTCCTGCTTGCTTCTCCACTGTGGACATGTCGAATTTATTTTATTGTATTTTAGTCTAGGTTATTCTCCCTATGTACATGGTGGTTGCGTGCTTGCATTGGTTGATGTTGTCTCCGCTTTTTGCGTTGAGTTGGTGGTCTCGCTCGGCGATGACATTTTGTGGCCTCGCATTCATGCAATGACTTATGTGGTCGTCTATATAATTTTGTTGCTTGCGTTTGTAACAAATTTGTATTGATGATAGTATGTGGGAGGGTCAGGACAGTATTTGTGGTTGTCGTACAAAGGTTTACTATTATTTGTTGTACTGGCAAATTCACTTCAGATCAATTTCTTGGTCACTGAAGTTTATGTACCCAACTGGTCACCCTTGTATCTGTTTGTGAAGTTAAATGAAATACAACATCGTCCTACACCGCTCTTTTTACTTCTAAGCACCTGATTTGATAAAAACATGATTAAACATAAATGCGTAGGAAGACACCGGGTGTATAGCCAGCATTTCCCTATGAGTTAACAAAATTCCGTGTCAAATTTCCAAATAATGCAAATTGACTATCACACATTGACATTAGTGAAATTTTCCCACCATTTTTTTTCTTGACATCACCTAAATAAATATTAGAAATTAAACAATAAAAATAATCCTAACAACATACAAGTAAAATTGGCATATATGAAGGGAAAAATAATCCAAATAACTTGATGACCTAAAACAGTCAAATCTGGCGACCAACACCACCAATTATTTCTTTCACCACTTGTTTAAAGAAACAAGTGTCGGGAAAAAAGGAGTGTGACAAAAAACAAAAATATCTAATTCTAAACCAAACACCATCTAAAATTCATCTAAAAAATTCTCACATCCAATTGTACCAATGATCCAAAGTTTCTTGTTACTCAAACATTACTTGATCAATACTGCAAACATGAAAGGAAAGCACATACATTCATCTAAGTAAATTCTATTAAAACAAAAGGCGTGTAAGTAATTTACAGACCCCGACGTAGCCAAGTTGACTACTGTTCTCTACCCCTCCCGTGGTTTAATTAGAATACCACTCGACATGCAATTAATTTGGATGATTGGGAACTGTCATCCGTGAACTATTGTCTCCATAATCCTAAAGTGTCTCTAAACAACTTAACTAAGAACTATGGCACTATATTATCCTTCATATATGAGCATATCCTTGTATAAACAAGATAGACTATCGTGGATTAAAGAAGAATCAATTATGTAAACAGTTCTCTAAGACCAAACAGGAAGCCTCTACACACTGTCAATATTATCCTTAATATATCAGCATATCCTTGTATAAACAAGAAAACTCTCGTGGATTAAAGAAGAATCAATAATGTAAAAAGTTCTCCAAGACCTAACAGGAAGCCTCTACACACTTGTCATATCTGTCGATCGACCCATCAAATCATACAGCCCTAAAACCCTAAAACCTGGCAAGCATAAAGGCATCCATACCAACCTGCTCTCAAGTTATCTCCCATCCAAATAAACCTCAATGATATTCCTGTCGGAGCATGCACTTAACCGGAAACTCAACTTTTCAATAATTATCCATGAAACGACATTTTTGGGAAGATGCAGATGACAATATGCAGAAGATCAACGGTTGGCATACATTACTGAATTTAACGGTGCATGCACGCTTGAGATTTCATAATTCACGGGAAAGTTATCGAGTGAACCGGAGACACTAAAGCAATGCATAGAAAGACTCTTGGGAAAGCTTACCAATAACGAAGAATTTTCACAAACAATTTGCAATGGAAATTTCAATAGCTCCAAACCCCTCCATCTTCTTGACTATTTCTTCTTCTTTTCCCCTACACCATCATCAACATATTCTTCCACAGAAAATTAAACGAAAGAACGAACAAAATATCCATATGATCCACCGGTTTCGAAACATAGCTACTGATAAAGAAAAAATAAATAAAACCTAACAACAAAACTACAGAGATTTGAGATTTAACAAGCAAAAGATATACCTTTGCTTGCTGTGCCTACAAAAGCTGCCAAAACATATTTTTGCACAAAACCAAAATACAACAAGTCAGTGATCAAACCAAGTATCTCTCTCTCTCTTTTTCTTTCTCTCTCTCTAAATCTTTGTTGTCTCAGTAAGATGGAGGAGGTCTCGGAGGGGGAGGACCCCAGAAAACATCATGAGGGATCTGACCGCCATTCGCAAGTAAATTCGGAGGTAGATTGTAAGCAGCCATTGCACTAGGATCCTCACCCACACCTCGAGATCCCGAATTCGCTCCTGTCCCTGCCGAATTCACACCTGATTGCTGCTGTATCTGCATTCCTCCTTCTCCACCTTGCTCTTCCTCGAGTGGCAGCCTCTCATATGTTGCATTTGTGAACGTAGCTGCAATAACCATCACCGGACCTGAAGCCACCAACGCTCCCATCACGGTGCCTCCCACCACCTGCCCCTGGCCGCCTGCCAAGTACACGGTCAGTCCTGTCGCGCCGGGCGGTGACGGGGCAGGTAGGAACGCCCCTGACAACGATAGAATCTCAAACCTTCCGTGCAATGTAATCACTCCAGTTGGCGCTGCTGGTTGCCGAAGAGTTACATTAGCGACAATTCCGCTGCCGCTGAGGACAGAGACGCCTCTATGCCGTCTTTGAGAAAAGGTGGCAATGCTGTCTACAATGTCGCTGCCGCTGCTGATTTCCAAGACGTGGCTTCGGAGAGCGTTGGGGCTCTCTTTAGTGATGACAACGGGCGGTTTGGGCTTGTTTTTGGAACCAGGGGGGCGGCCACGCGGCCTCCGGTTGCTACTTCCTGGCTCGAGGCTGTCATGGCTGCCGCTGCCGGTGTTAGGGCCCTGATCGTCGCCTTCCAGGTCATTGTTGTCCCGACCATCTTCGTGGTGTTTGTTGTTCTGCTTGTGTGGGCTGGTGCTGCTGTTGGTGGGAGTAGTGTTGTCTTGGTCGTCGAGTTGTTCCTCGGTGTTTCTGAGGTGGAGAGACGGCGGAGTCGAGGAGATTGAATCCACATGACCTCCTCCGCCCATGGAAACATTTCCGGCCCACCATCGATTCGCCATCCTTCTAATTAAATCTTGGGAAAATATATAATAAAAAAAACCTAGAAACCAAAATCCAAATCCGAGCAAGAATGGAAAAAAATCCAAATCTAAGCTCTTGCTTTTACACTCTTTCTGTTTTTGGATGCATAACGACAACCACGGTTGAACCACCTGTCTAGCTAATTAAGGAAGGTAAAGATCTCTTTAAAACCCACCTCTCTCTCTCTCTCTCTCTCTCTCGCCTTCTTCTTTGTTTGCTTGCAGGAACAGACTGAAAGATCTCTCCTATAAGCAATATATAAAAACAATCTCCAAAACCCAACAGATAGAATCCAAAAAAAAAAACCTTATCCCTTTTCACAAAACCACCTAAACTCTATCTCCTTTTTATTACTTGAAAACCCTAAAAGCTAAAAACCCAGAAATATTAGATCCAACAAACCCCATTTAGAATCCAACAACCCTAACCCCCTAGTTCAAAAACCAAATCCAACCTCAACAATCTTCAAAACCCACGTCCCAAAATACCCAACGATTCACATATTTGTGCTCACAACATTAAAATACAAATATATATATATGTATATTATTGGATACCCACAAAGTGCATCCCTTGTGTTCTTCTCTGATAAGCTTTCTGAGTTTGAGCAGCTTCTAGCTTTTCCTCTTTCTTCCTTATAGCTTGGGTTGCTTTGCCCTCTCTCTCAAGTCTAATCAATGGGAAATCTTGGTTGGCCAGTACGAGCAAACTAACCCAAAGATTTTGTTTCTGTGGTTGGGGGGGGGGGCCTCTTCTCCTCTGTAATTTTCAGTCTTATCTCTCTTTTCTTTTCTTTCTCGTTCTCTCTCTTTTTCTACTGCAATACTGCACCTTTTTACCACTTCGGGGGCTGCGGGGGGGCGTACGTTAAGGGTCCCAACTCTCCCTGGCGTACGATAACATATGTTATCTTTAAACTTGTAAAAACAAAAACAAAAACAAAATAAAAACAAAACAAAAACAAAATAAAAACAAAACAAAAAAATTATGAGGGGAAAAGAAGAAGGCGGTTTTGCAGAGAGTACCTGGTTTTTTCTTGTCCCTCCGGTTTTGCCTTTACAAGTTCCGAGCTTCCAAGTTGAGTGAGATTTTAATCCTCTACAGTCATCAACAACTGGACTCTCCAACCGCAACCAACCACCAGGAAGAAAAAAAGCATCTTTGTAATCGGAATTACCGTTATGCCATCATGAGGTGACGTGCGGGAATTTGATTTGACGTTGAGAAAGCAGAGACGGTGGAAAGGTGCAGGGCAAGTGTGCAAGCCAAGGTTAAGAATTAGAGAAATTTTTAATTACGACGAAAATATAAGTAGTGCATCACATGTTTTAATAGGAATGGTAAAAAATTTTATTTTTTAAAATCATTAATTTTTTAGCATACATATCTCACTATTTGTTTAATAAATATAATATTTTATGTACCGATCACATTGAAGAATCTCTCTGAGAATTGGAGTTCATCTCTCCTTTTTTTGGGTTTTTACCGACAGAGAAGAGAGAGAGAGAGAGAAAAGGAGTGTGGGGTAACGTGCGCTTGGAGTAGTGGGAAGTCGTCATTGTCCGCGAGTCGCGACAAGGTATATCGAATGCCAATGTCTGAAAACATCACCGCCAGAAACCGCGACCGATGACCCATACTTAGGGCTGGTTTGATATTGTTGTGTTTTGAAAAAAGTTGCTGTGAGAATAAGCGGTTGTGAAATAAATCAGCAGAGTGTTTGGTAAACTTTTTTGTAAAAGTGCTTTTGAAAAAAAAGCAGTCTGATAGTAGATCTCTTCATTAAAGGAGCACTGTAGTTCTATGCGCTTTGAAAAAAAACCAGTTTTCCAAAGCTACAAATTGCAGCTTCAGCTTTTTCCTTTGATTTCAGCTTATTCTCACAGCAGCTTCCAAAATAAGCCTTTTTTTTTAAGTTTACCAAACACCAAAAACACTCCCAGCTTTTTTTCATATGAGCCTTTTTTAAAATCACCTCAACCCCAAACTGGGGCTTAATGCCGTCTCCAGTCATATAGGAAGCTTAAAGAATACGGAAAAGGATCCTCGCCGGATCCGTTTCCTAAGAAACCCGTGATTTAACCCGTTTATCGTATATCGTAAGGTCAGTTTTTATTAAATACTATTCATATTTAATTGTAAATTTTAAATTTTAAAATAATTTCTAACCGTACGATATATGATAAACGGGTGAAATCATAAGATCCCTAGAATTCCTAGAAAAAGATCCGGCAAGGATCATTTCTCAAAGAATACTGAACACTAGTTTTATCCACCTCTAGTCATACCGGCCTAAATTTTTCCATCTCACGTGAAATGAAGATGTTGAAGGCTTGAAGCCCGTCGATATCAAATAAGAAATGTGAAATTATAACAGTTAAATTATAATGATCGATTAATGTAATAATTTAATGTTTTATGTTAAATTTTAATTTTTCTAATTAAATTGTTAAATATTATTTTATTATTAAATGAAATCTTTAAATGATTGTTTATACTTAAAAATTTGTTGAAATGTTAGCAGAATAAAGGATTTACTATTAATTAATGAAAAATAAATTTGACATTGACGTTAAATTTGATTCCTAATCATAAAAACTTCAAATTTAGTCAACAAATAATACTTTGATTGGCAAATTTTTTAAGTCAAATATGCATGTTGGCATTTCCACATAAGATTTGACATCTTCTTTAAAGAGATTATATTTTGAATTGGAATGAACAAATTAAAGACAATCAACAGTCGATAGGCTTAGACCATCTTCAATCCTGACCTAAAACCTAAAAATATTTAGCCTAGAAAATTTAGGTTTTAGCCCAGAAACAGCTTTTCTACTCCAACCCTTTTGGCCTAAAATTTTAGCCCCAGATTATCAAAAAATGAATTAAGCCTAATTTTTTTTTAAATTAACTTTTTTTTTTAAAAAAAAATATGTAGACTATTCTAAATTAATTTTATGAATATTTTAATCTAAAAATATTTAAATTCCGATAAATTTTGAAAAATCACTAAATCAATACATGAAAATCATGATAAACTACATAAACTTAAAAAAAAAATTATTCTAGCCGTTGGAAAAAAATATTTAAATTCCAATAAATTTTATGATTATTCTAGCCATTGGATTTAAATTTGGACCGTTAGATTTTTTTTTTTACCGTTAGATTTGATTATATTCGATTTAAGCCGTTGGATTCAATAAATATATAAATATAAAATAAAATAAAAATTGAATGTGGACCGTTGGATTAACCAACGGTCCAATTACCACCACCACCCGATGAAGAAAAGTAGCCGTTGGCTACAGGACAAGGCCCACTTTTCACTCTCATCTGTGAGTCCCAGCAGCTTTTGTGGGCTAAATTTGTGATCTATATTTACCTTCATTTTAAGTTTTAAGTTTTAGGTTTGATTTAGGTTTTGGGTTGTAGTGGATTTGGGGGGAAAAAAGGGGGAAATTTAGGTTATAAGCCACCATTGGAGATGGTCTTAAAGGGCTTTATGTATTTAGCCCTTAACTAAATTTAGCTCTGGTTTTTTAAGGCCATCTCTAAGTAAAATCAGGAAATGGATCATCTTTAGATCCCTTCCATCTAATCCTCCTTAACAAATAATTCAGACCCTTGAAATTTGATCTAACGGCTACAAATAGGAACCCATTTTAAAAATTATGATAACTTTAGATGTTTGATCAAATTTCAAGAACTCAGATTGTTTAATGAAGAGGATTAGGTATAAGGGATCCAGATAGGATCCATTTCCGTTATATCGAGCCTTTAGCTATGTTTTAATTTTTTTTAATTAATATTTTAAAGAATATTGTAGAATTAAATTTGTTTATCTCCCGCCATGTCAATTTTGTTATTTTGGCTTGTGATACACATGTTGGGGCTGTTGAGGAACTTGGAAGCTTGGTATATATAGTTTGTACTTGACTAACCTTTTTTTATTTATTTATTTAACAAACGATATTATTTATAGTAGGATGAGAGAGTGAGTTAATCCTTACAATTGGTCAACCATAATAATATGGTTCAAATTCGCCTTTAGTGAGAAACGAACCTAAAACGTCATTTACAAGTGAAGAATACGACTAGACAAATAGTACTATGTGGCTATCCTTGACTAAACTTAGCCCTAATTCTTTTTAACAGATTCATGTTGGCATTGCTGCAGGGACGAAGCCAGAGATTTGCATGAGCCCATCCTCAAACAACAAAGTCACAATTAAAAATCTTAAGAATTTATTGAACAAAACACTAATATATTAATCCATAAAGTTTTTCATACAACATATTACAATATTCCTCGAATTGTTTTCATGTTTTGAAAGCGTTGAATAATAATATCATTACCAATACCATTAATCTCTTTATATAAAAATAATCATGTTATCATTCATCCATTGATCTCTAAATTAGAAAGCTAAATTCTAAATTGAAATGCCAAAAACAAATTAATGAAGTAAAGTTGTATAAAATACCTTGTGGAGTAAAATTCTTGTGTTGAATTTTGATAATTGATTACTTGAACTCCAACTGTCTATAACACTCCAAATTCAATTGAGTTTTGGTTGAATGAAAGGAGAGGAAAAATCTAGAGAAGTGAGGACTGGAATTGCTTTGCTGTACGTGGTGGGATGAGTTTTGTGTGGATTAACGACCTAGGGTTAGAAAAACAGGAAGGCATAATTAAATTAATTGTTAATTAAATTGTCATCAGGCATTTGGGATCCAAAAAAGGTAGACTAGTTTAGTTGCCTACCAATTTTTTTAATTGTAGTTTAATTAGGGCTGATTATTGAGACAAATTTTGCAAATTGGGGCTAAAAGTGACCTATAATCTTTGGTCTGAGATGGTCTTCGTATATTTGTTTTGGTCTTTGGTTGAAACTGAAAATGGCGTACAATTTATTTTACTGGAATGGCCTACATTGTCACACGAGTCATATGACTTGTTCGTCTTTTAACACAAAAATTTAAGATCCGTTATCCAAATACACTAATGAATTCAACGATTTATAACAAGATCTGAAAAAAGTCAAAACCCTTTATATTACATTGCAAATTGTAAGAAGAAAAACCTCGAGTTGGGCGGCTAATCAAATCAAATAATGTTGAATTGTCAATGTCAGCTACTTGCTCCTATATTTTCACCATTAATATTGTCAAAGGTGATATCAATAGTTTGGAATTGGATCCTCGCCGGATCTAATTTATGGGGATTCTAGGGATCAACCCATGTGGACCGTTGATAAAAAATCGTGCGGTCACAATTTTTTTCTTTTTTATATTTTTCACGCAAAACAAGACTGTTTTACTTTTAAAACATTTAATTGTGACCGCACGATTTTTGATCAACGGTCCACGTGGGTTGATCTCTAGGATCCCCAGCAATTAGATCCGGCGAGGATCCAATTCCCAATAGTTTTGTATCCAAACAATGTCAAAATGTGAGTGCCAATATAGAAATAGATCGATTTTATATTAAAGAATTTTAACGAAAATTTTTTTGTACTATTTATTTTCATAAAAAATTTACATTAAAAAAATCAATTCTAGTACTATTTATTTTATTTTTATTTTATTTTTATCGTTAAAATTTAAAATTTTTAAGTCATTTCCATTAATTTTTCTTTTATATTACTCTTCAATTCGAATTAGCAAAAAAAAAAATGTAATTTGATGGTTGAGTAGCACAACTTTAATATATTCCATTATACCAAATGATCAGGATTATTAACCAATTGGTCCAACTATCTTACACCAAATTTTAGATGCTTCGGCTTTAGTTTTTACTTTAAAAAGGCGAATTCCATTTTTTCAAACTTCAAAATTCATGAACATTTTAATCTCTTACTATTCAATTTTAATTTCAAAGAAATAAATATGTATCATAAAATTTATAAGAATTTTAACGAAAAACCTGCAATACTGTTTATTTTAACGAAAAATTATATTTTTACACTAAAAAATCAAAC